GATGTTCATCAATGTTATCTCTTTTTGTTGGATTGTTCCCTTAACTAGTATGTAGTGATCTTCTTCGTCTCTTCTAATCAGTTTTAACTTGAAATTTACCGTGTCTGCCTGTTTTCAGGGTCCTGGTGCATGAAATATTGTTTTCCATCTTTTAATTTTTAGGTTATTAACATCTTTTTGGGTTAGATGAGTTTTTTGAATACAAAAAGTTGTTGTCATTTTTTTTTTTTAATCTCACCTGCTGGTCTGTGTTGTTTGATTGGAGAGTTGAAGATGTTAACATTGAGAGATATTACTGAGATATGTTGGTTATTTACAATCATTGCCTTCTTTATTGTAGGTATATCATTTTTATTTTCCTAATGGTTTTGTTGCTGTTTATCTGCTGATCTTGCTAATTTCCTCAGTGTTTTTAGCTATGTCTGATTTGTTGTTTCTGTCAAGATTATTCTTAAGTATTTTCTTTAGAGACAGTTTTGCACGCATATCTTCCGAGCTGTTTTTTTCATGGAAATACTTCATTTCTGTGTCTATTTTGCAGGATAGTTTTGCTGGGTGAGTTAGTCTGGGTTGGAAATTATTTGCTCTTAGGGTTGAAATATTTCACTCTGAGCGCTTCTAGCCTTTAGGGTTTGTGATGAAAAGTCTGCTGTGATTTGTTTACCTTTATATGTGATTTTTTGTTGTTTCTCTCCGGCTGCCTTTAAAATTCTGATTTTTTTGCTGGATATCTGTGAATTTAATAAGGGTATGCCTTAGTGAACTTCTCCTTTCATCATAATTGTTTGGTTTTTTATAAGTGCCACTTACTTATATTTTAAACTTTTTTCTTATATTTGGGAACTTCTCCTCCTAATTTCTATAAGCATGTTAATGGCATCTATACATTTTTCTAGTTTTTCCTCTAACTCTACATCGGTCCTCTTGTCATTTAGTAGCTGCAGGATAGTCTTCTGTTTTCTTATTTTCTTTTTGGCTTCTTTGAGCTCTTTATTCACTATTTTGTCCTCAGTATCAGACACTATCTTTACATTGGTCATTTTTGCAATGTATGAATTCTATCCTGTTTTTTATTTCAGGTATTTTTGCCTGACATCTTTTCAAGGATTCCATATCCTTGTTTAATCCATCGTTCAAATTTTGAACTGTTTCTGTTAGCTCACCCACGTTTTTACTTATTTCCCCCAAATTCACTGTGGGTATATTGAGTGCAATTGCTAAATTTTGCTTCATTTCCTCTTTAAACTCATCTATTTTCTTCATCCTGTCTAAGACTTCTTCATAGATTTCTGCTATGTGGCATTTTGTTTCTTCCTGTCCCTTTGTGACTCTTTGCTCTGCCTTGGGAGTGTTGAGGGGGTTTAGAGATCTTCTATTTCTTGTCTCTGCATTGTCCTACTTGTATCCTCTCTCTGATATATATATCTCAAAGAGATATATCATATATATGATACAAGATATATATGTTTTGAAATTATATATGGCCTCCTCTTTCTTTCTTTTCTCTTTTTTTGTGTGCATGTGTGTTAGTGCAGTTTTGGGACCACAGAAGTGAGGAGAGTATGTGGCTTATAGGGGATTTTTAATAGGTTGTTGCCTGCCCATTAGTAATTTCCAGCTTAGTAGGTGCAGTGCTAGTATTTACTCCTTCTGTTATTTACTTTAAGTGATTTCAACTCTGTCCCTATGTTTTACCAAAGAATTCCTTCTATGTATAACAGCATCCACAAATTCAATTTTACAACACTTATATATGATAAAAATATGGAATACTTCACAAATTTACATATCTTCCTTATACAGGGGTCATGCTAATATTCTCTGTATCATTCCAATTTTAGCGTATCTGTTGCCAAAGTGAGCACTTGAGAATTTCCTGCTATTATTCCTTTGAATATGGTTTTTGTTCTTTTCTCTTTTTTCTTCTTCCAGCAACATGCATATATTGTTGTGCTTGATGGTGTCCCATGCATCCTTAAGCTACCTTTACTATTGTTCATATTTTAAAATTTTTTGTTCCTCAGATTGGATGAGTTCCTGTGATGTATCTTCGAGTTCACTACTCCTTTCTTCTCTGGGACCTAGACTACTGCTGAACCCTTTATTGATTTTTTTTCAGTTCATTTATTTTGTTTTATTTTTGAGGTACAGTCTTATGGTGTTTCAGGCTAACCTCAAACTCACTAAGCAGTTCAGGCTGACCTTAAATTTTCTTTTTTTTGTTTTTTTGTTTTTTTGTTTTTTTGTTTTTTTGTTTTTTCTCCGGTACCGGGAACGGAACTCACGACTTTGCGCTTGCCAGGCAGGCACTTTTGCCGCTGAGCTAAATCCCCAGCCCCTGACCTTAAATTTTCAATCCTCTTGCCTTAGCCTCTCAGAGTTCTGGGATTACAGGCATGCACGACCATGCCCAGCTTCAGTTCAGTTACAGTTCTCTTCAGTTATATGATTTCTGCTCGGGATTTTTAAAAATATTGTCAGACTATTCAAATAGTTTGTTTAAGCACTGATCTACTGACCTCCTTGTCTTCATAACTGTTCTCTGTTTTAACAGAGTTACATTTTGGAGAGTTATTTTTTCTTTTATTTAGAACATATTTTTCTGTTTCTCCATTTTCTTTGAATTTGTTTCCCTTTTTTGTACAATACATAAGAAAACCACTTCTCCCAGTCCTGTTAGAATCGTATCTTGCAGGAGACGATCCTATCAGTTAGCCAAATGAAAGATACTAGATCCTTTTCAAGTGTGTTTGCTTGTCCAGCCTACTGTCTTTGTTCTTCATGGACCCAAAGAGATTAGTCACCCTAAAATAGGTGACACAGAAAGTGGTCTTTTGGGGTACATTTGGAAACTTTTGGTTGTTAGATGTATGTCTTAGATCCTTTTTCCTTCTGAGAAACTGAAGTTCAGATTTTATCTCACACTTACTCTGTCCCACACCAAGTAGAGCACCTGAGGCAGATATCTTCTTCAGGTATATCCTCTGAGCCTATGGAGATAGTTGCTGAATGGAAAATTCAAAAATCTCCTTTGTGTTATTTGTGATCCCAGGAGACTCAGGAATGCAGAGGACCATCCAGTCTCAGAGTCCAGTGATTCAGAAGTCAGCCCCTGAAGTGGGAGGTGAAAAATTGGAGGGACCTGATGCACACACAATTCCTTTTGGGGAGAGTCTGAAGACCTGGATTTACTGTTGTAGAAGGCCCAGAAAGGAGGTACTATGGTGTCCACCTTAACACTCAGGCTTACAGAGGCCTCACAAATTTCTCCCAGAGAGAATCTTGAGGCCTGTGTTTATTGCTGGAAGAAACTAGGAAAGAAAGTACAGAGAATCCCACCTTCTCAGGTTCTTTTAGGCTCCCTTATCCTTTAGGCTCCAAGATACAGGCTAGTCAGAAACCAGAATCACAAGGGGTTGCTGGAAGCATGCAGATAAACCCCTTCCAGCGAGAACCTAGAAGCTTGCATGGATTCTGAAGGCTATAGCTGCTGGGAGTACTTGTGTCAAAACCACATATTTGTACTTGAGAGAAGTTCTGAAGAGTTGCATCCTTGCTGCTCCCCAAGCAAAGTAATTTCAAACCTTTAGGCAGGGATTGTACAATACGGGGCATTTTGCATGTATTACAAGCATTTTACATCTCAGGAAGTAGCTGGGAGTTGGAGATTCCTTCCTGACTGTAAGGAGCTCTGCTCAATGTGGGGTAGATATGTGTCTCTCATACCTGCCAGTATAGATATTCTTTCATACATTTGGTATGCAGGAGTCATCTTTCTACTAGTTTCTGGTTTTGTCTTGGAGAAAATTGATATTTGGGTAGGAGAAAGGATTTTTCAGGAACTTCTTATTCCTTTTGTTGCTTGTATCACTTTCCAGAACTATGGGTTTCAAGAAACGTCTTGAAATAGTAAATGGCTCCTGATACTTTAATATCCCTAAGTTAAGGAGATTCTTCTGACACTATGTTTTTGAATAGATGAGTAGGTATAATAGATAACCAGCGTTCCTAATAAGAGGATATTACTAAAATATAGATAATAAAGATTTGATCTAGGCAAGTAATATTCAGAAATGAATATAAGGGTTAAGTCCAAGAACTGGTATAGTTTTTATATAGCATAATGTTTATATTTTCTCCCAACAAGATATTTTTCTACATTAGATAATATATAGCTATGCTTCTTGCTTAGGAGGAAATGCAGGCTAAGCACTTTTAAAGCATCTAGAATAATACCCCTTTCTTCCATCTGTTCTAGATGGTTAAACATGTTGTGGACTAATTGCATTTTCCACAATAGTTTCTTTGGACATTAACATGACTGAGTTCTCCAAGCAGAAAATGAAAACTCTGAAACAGAGGCAGAATAACAAATATTACTTCTGTCCAATGAAATATAGAATTTAAATATACAACCAAACTACTGTTTATTGCTTTGACATTTAAATCTTATTATACTGTTTAATAATTAAAAGGACCCAGTGGAAAATAACCAATCTGAGACAGAATAAAATGAGTCTGGTAGTCTCAGGGACAAGCAGAGATAGTCAAGTGGTACTAGTGAAATCCATTTTTGTGTATAATTTTGAGGCTAAGCCATTAGTGCTTTGATTTGTGCTTGACTGGCTAAAATAATAAAGCCCACAAGGACAGCAAAATTATTATTTCTAACTTCAGACCCATCTGGCTGTTTATTTTTGAAGTGGCATTCAGAACAACCTGGAGGTAATATTAAGATATTTACAAAGGATAAAGGTTCCAAAGTATGAAATCATTTTCAAAAAATTCAAAGGACCACACTTTGCTACTCTAAATGTGGTCCATAGGGCAATAGCATTAACATGTCTTGGGAGCTTGTGAGACATGCAGAATATCAGGTTCCTCTCAAACTCACTGAAGCAGAAGTTTCTTTCCAACAAGATCCCCAGGTGATCTCTATTAAAATTTGAGATGTGTTGATTATTATTAATTCTTTGAACAGATTTTTGTCAGAAGGTGAGATGGAGGGCAGGAGGATCCCATATCTCCAGATACTGTGTAAGTGCTGATTCTTAGGAGGAGGTTTTGACATTGATGTTCTGCAGCTGTGCAACACACAGGGAAAATGCAGAGGAGGAAAAACCTTCTCTGAGAACATAGCCCCTGCTGGGGATGCTCAGAGATCAACCCACCATGTGGCACAGGCAGGTCCTCTGAGATGTGTATCAAGCTCAAAAGCCAGAGTTTTTACATCAGGTAAGTGGTAGTAAGGCTCTCTCAGTCAATACACAATCTATCTGTTTCAGTAATTATGTACTTATGGATCTATAATAATCCTCAAGAAGCTCATCTTTACCACTTTATTATATCACAGGAAAATGATTAGATCTTCAAACAATCTGACCTTTTAACTGCACAAAAAGAAATCTCCCACAAGAGGGACACAAAGTGAAAATATTCACCACATAAAACAAGAACTGGAGACATGCTAACTGAATAGAGTGACAGGGTCCAAAATCAGTCTTCTTCCATTTTTCCAAGTTGGGATCCTTGCCCAAGTTTTGGACACACAGAAAATCCTGCCAGTTACACCCTGTGCAGTACAAGGAGACCTTTCCCAATTCAGGGTTTGGCAGTCAGGATCCCTCTACTTTGTTTCAAAATTAATTTTCCAACTAAAACCATGTACTTTTTGTTCCCAAAGAACGTTATAGGGAGAACAGTCTGATCTAGATGGTGTGGACGAGCAGAAGTGGCCAAGTGAGTTCAGACTCAGCATGGAGCACTGAAGTAGGCTGAGTAGGGTGTTTCCCACCTTCTTGGACCTCTGTGTCTCTTCCAAACCCTCCATACACTTCTGTTTGTAAAAGTAACCTTCCTGGCATCTAGTCTGCTCATCAATGTGATTCTATTCAGTAATGAATATATAGATTAACATCTGTCAGATAGTAATAGTAGTTTAACCACCTGCTTTAACTGATTGCTCACACTGCCAGTGGGTTTTCTAACATGCTGTGCTTGGACGTATAAAATATTCTTCACTGAATCTTCCTAAGGCTTCTGAAAATTCCGGCACATTGAAGCTTGATGGAATTCCTAAACCTTAGTGATATATTAGCGACAATTGGGAGACTACTGGCTTGGAAGCAAGACTCACTGGAGTGAACATCTTAGCTCTGCCCCTGTTCATGTGTCATTTAAACCTCACTGGAGCTCAGCTCCTTACCACGATAGGGGAAACCAAATACCATTTCAGGGGGCTGGGGATTTAGCTCAGCGGCAAAAAGCGCCTGCCTGGCAAGCGCAAGGTCGTGAGTTCGGTTCCCGGTACCGGAGAAAAACCAAAAAAAAAAAAAAAAAAAAAAACAAATACCATTTCATAATTTTCTGTGGGGATTAAAAGAAATAACAAGTGTAAGTCACTTAGCAAAACCACTGGCATTCAGTAGCGAATTAAAAGGATTTACCCCCTTTCCTTTTCTTGATGGATAATTTCTCTAGAAAGCAGAGCCTAAGTCAAAATTTAAGTACTAAAGCTTTGTTGAGGGGCACCATTCAGGGAAGCAATGTGAAAGAACTAGAAAAATGAGGTAGGGGAAGAGAAGATGCAAGGACACAATAATCTATTCCTGGGCTGACCAGACATGATCATGAAACATGCCCCCTGCTTAGCTACGCAGGACAGCTCCAGCGAAGACAGATGGAAACCCAGTGTGGGCACAGTCTCTTGTGAAGAAGGAGGGAGCAGAGCCTTTTGTTGAGCTCCTTTTGTTCTCTGTTGATCACTGGGCGGAAATGCCCCCTCCAACACTGGTACTAACTCACCTACAATTCAAACTTAATTGCCACATGGGTAGTGGTACAGGACCAGTGAGGGGCATGAGGATGCCATGGACTTGTCATGGAAGACAACAAAAAGTAAGTTTTGGTAACAGGTAGAGACCTAAGAGAGACAAAGTTAGAAAAAAAGAGCTGTGATACATATTTATAAAAATGCCACAATGAAACCATTACAGTATATAACCAACATGCACCAATAAAAAGACAAAGTAAGAACTTAATCTGAAATATACACAATAAATGTTAAACTAGGTACCACTAAAAAAGAAACTAAGGACAAAGTATATGAATATTTTTCAGGTTTCAAGTTCAGTATCAGAGATACAAAGAGGCCAAACAAAGATAAGAGTTTAAAAAACCAAGACAATAAAACATTGTAACTTATGCCCCATTCAGAACACTTCTTGGGGGAAGATGGGCACTGAAAATATTGTGAAGGATTGAATAGTGAAATGTGAGTGAGGAAATAGAACTAATACTCCTTTAAAAAAATATTTTTACTTAAAATTGGCAGATAGGAAAAGAAAAGTTTGGTAACTTCAAGAGAAGCAGAATTAAAGCAATTTTTCAAAAACTTGCAATTCATCTATTCAATTTTCTGTGATGTCAATGGGTTGTCTCCAGTTTTTGACAATTAATTATAATACTGTTGTAAGCATTCTTATCAATGTCATGGGGAGCTAAGCATACATAGCTCAGTTGAACAAAGCTCTAGAAATAGTTGTAGTGCATTTCAATATCCAATTGACAGCCCAGTTTTGATATGGCCACTAGAGCTCTTTGACCAAAAGGTCTATTAACCTTTTCATTTCCATGTGGATCACTTCCTGCCAGTTCTCTAAGTTACAAATGGAATTGTATTAAAACCGACAGTATAATATATATCTGTATCTATCTATCTATCTGTCTATCATCTATCTATCATCTATCTATCTATATATGTTTTTTACTTTTATTCATTTTTACTGTCTGTACTTAGAAGAACATACAAATTTTGATGTATATATTTAAGCACATACACATATAGAATATTTTGTATCTTGATAAGTTGAAGTTTTATTGCTATAAAATATTCTTCTTTATATCTAGTAGTATTTCTTGCTGTAAAGTTCTCTTTATATGGTATTCACTGTCTATCGCTTAGCGTTTAGGAGGAATATCTTTTTCTGTCCTTTTACTTTCAATCTGTGTATGTCCTTGCATTTAATATTTAAGTATTTATATTATTTCTTCTTCAAATCAAGCATCACTTTCTAAGTGCTTAGTCTATTTCTGTAAATTGGAATTATTCAAAAGCATGGTATGTTTAAGACAGTAGAAGCATTTATTCTACTTGTAGGCAGGAAAGAAAGAAAGATTAAAGATACTGAAAATATAAGAGGGAAAGCAAAGCGATGACTGATGGGGTGAGTTCTAGAGGTGACCCACGTTCCAGAACCCAGGACTAGGATGTTTGCAGAGGAAGCCTGGGGACATTGGTACAGATTTGTGTGGCAGTACATAAAGCTGTTCAGGAAGGTTATTTCTGCTGACCTCTATTTTTCTCTTAAGGCAGGAATAAGATTGTCTTACATTTTCTATACCAAAGTAACATAGAGTGGGTGGCTTAAAAACAACAGGAATTTATTCCTCGCAATTCTGGAGGCTGAAAGTCCAAATAGCATGGCAACAGTCAGGCAAGGGGCCCTCTGGCTGAGTCAGTTCTTGTGAGAATGCTTGTGAGATCAAGAGATCACATAGTGAGACATGAAGCTACAGTCACTCACAGGGTGTGCTCACTCTTTTGTAAAGACTCTTCTCAGGAGAATTAACTTAGGGTTCCATGAGAGCTACATCAATTCCTCCTGGGGCAACTCCCTTAATGATCTCAATTGCCAGTAGGCTCCACCTCTTAAAAATCCCCTCAGCTTTTAATACCAACACACTAGCGGACCAAGCTTTCAACACACAAAACTCCAGTGACAAACCACATCCAAACTATAGAAGGAACTCCAAGACCTACATGATTTTGCTCTTGTTTTGGGATGGTATGTATTGGTTATTGCCTTTGTTACTCTCTCATTTCTGGGACACAATATCTGACATCCACAGCTGAAAGAAGGAGATGTTCAACTGGATTCTAGTTTTCAGTCCATAGTCCTTTGGCTCCAAGGCAGAGCACCATACCTGAAGGGCATAGCAGAAGCAAAGGTACTCATAGCATAGTGGCCAGGAAGCAGAGAGAGAGGGGAGGAGCCTTCATGATCATGCCCAGTAACCTGCCTCCTCCAGCCAGACCCTACTCCCCAACAACACAGCATCTGAACCAGTGGATGAATCCACCAACAAATATTCTGCCCTCATGATCCATAAATCCTGCCTTTGAGCACATGAACCTTTATGGGGACATTCCAAATCCAAATCATTATATTCTTCCCCTAGTGCCTTGAAAACTCATGTGCACCTCTTTATGCACAGTACATTTGGTACATCTCTAAGAGTTGATGAGATTTTAACAGTTCTAGCCTTGCTGAAAAGTCTAAGTCTAAAGTCTTCTCTAATGCAAACAAATGAACAAACCAAAACTCCCATAAAAATCAAAAAGAAGGTTAAACACATACACTGACATACAAAGGCACAGCATAGGCATTCACATCCAAAAGGGAAGAGTGGGGATAAAAACCACTGGGACCAAAGTAAAAATACTAAAACCCAGGAAGGCAAACATTAAATCCAACAGCTTTATGTCCAGAACCTGGAGCAAGATGCAGAAAATGGCTTGGATGGCCCTGCCCCATGACACTGTCTGCTTTAGCCACGTAGCCTCTTTCTTGGGCTGGCTTTGCTCACCTCCTAAAGACTTCCTCAGTGAATGTTCCATGTTCCTGTCTTCTCCAACTTCTTGGAGTCTCTATTGCATTTTTCCTTCCCATTCACAGCTTCATGCACTGCCCTCTCAGTAGCATACTACCCATCCTCCTAGGCCTTCTTCTGAAATCTGGATGGAAACATAACTGATCTCACAACTCTTGCATTCTCCATGCCTGTAAAACTAGCACCCTGTGCATGACACTGAGGTCTACTGGCAGCTTGAACTGTAGCTTGAATTATGGCTGCAGAAGTCTCCAAGTATTTGAATGACTGAGCACTCTGAACCAAATCCTACTGAATAAATCCCCCAAGGAGCCCTTCTAGAGCAGAGTAGCCTGGGTTGTCTTCTGCAATAAAAGTCTCTCACT